ATACTCCAGCTATAAACATGGCACAGAACTATCCCTTTCCTCATTTTGGACAGTATGCTTTAATTATTCAACTAATGCTCATATTAACTTATTTGCCTTATGACATCATTGATTCACTTTCAGTTCATGATCCACCAAGACCTTTAGGCCTTTTTCACTTAAACTGTTGTCCAGCCATGACTGCCCCTATACTCTATTTGTGTCCTTCATTTTTGGAACCCAAGTACAGCATTTTACTTTTGTTCCTATTCAACTCCATCTATTAGATTTAGAGTATTTCTCAAAATGCCTTTGGATACTGATTTCTCTAATCTAACATTTTAACTATCTCTCCCAGCCTTTTGTCATTTGCAAATTTTATATGCATGGTATCTTTATTTTATCCAAGTCATTTATTTTAAAAACTGGTGAACAGAACAGGACCAAGTATGAATGATGAACTCCACTATAGATCTCCCTTTGAATTGACAATGATCTACTTATTATTTATTTACGTTTGGTCTGGCCATTTATTTAGTTAGTTACATATCCAGCCCAATTTCTCCATTTTATTCATTGTAAATTTGTCAAATGCTTTGCCAAAATAGGGATATACTATATATCTGGGGCATTCCCAGTCCCAGTCAAAAACAGCATAAAATGTTAGTCTGGAATGTCCTCTTCTTAATTAACCTATACAAGCTCCTACTACTTCCCAAACTATTCACTGTGTCCTTAACCATAAATTCTAGATTTTTCCAGATATCATAGTCAAAGCAATTAGATTATAGTTTGATGAATCAATCAACTTCCCCTTTTCCAATTCAATTAAACTAATATTTATTTTTTCAAAGTAGGATCATGTTTGTGCATGTTTTCCATTCCTGGTACAGCTCTTGTGTTCTCCACTCTTTTTCAGAGGTAACCATGACTGCATCACATCAACAAGTACTTTCAGTATCCAAGTATGTCATTCATCTCAGCCTACTGATTGGAACTCAATGAAGGCAGGCAGGTATAGTTTTACCATTGACTCACTTAAGCTCCAATTGCCTGGTAAGCATTTTAGTTCTGTACTTCCCAATCAGATGATCAGCCTCTTCCGCTGGGAATCAAAAGTTGAGTAGTTCTGTCTTATCAATATCAGCCATTATCATCATCCCATCCACCCAAACAGTAATCTTATCTCATTTCTTTGATCTTCCTCTTGCCTCCCTAGTAGAGCTGGAAAAATGGCCCCTTTTGCTGTCCTTAGAATTCATCAGCCTCAATTATTTTAAGTTTCAGCACTTATCACACTATTATTAAAGGTTGGAGCCATTAACTCATCATTCTCGTTTATCTGACCTTACTTTCTTCTTCTGTATGTGTCTTTATAAAAATCTAAGTTGGCTCATGAGTCTCCTGTGTATATTCATCAGTCTCTTTAAAGAGCTCCCTCTTTCATTCTTTGTAAGGATCATCTGTGCTTGTGTTGCCCAAATTTTGTTCTTAAGACTACTCCCATTCTTTGTATTTTTTCTTTTTTAAAAAACTTAAATTTTTAATTAACAAAATCAGTTTTCTCTCCCTTCCACCAATCTGCCCATTGAAGAAAAAAGCAAAGGAAAGCCTTTGAAATATTACATTTCAAACAATATTCAAAGTCAAGCAAAGCAAATTACTGCAGTGGCCATGTCTAAACAACACATGTCTCTTTCTGCACCCTAAGTCTGTCACCCATTATCCCATTTCTCCTGAGTAAACTCCTATGGAACTTTTGTCCACAGGATCTTCCTTATCCTTTCTCTGAATTCCAAATCAAGAGGTTCTCTTTCAAGACCAAGGTGTGAGAGTACAGTCCAAAGACAAGGATCTTGTGTTTATTAAAATGAGTTATTTTCAGATAACTCTGTACTAAACTACTACTTTTAAATCAATTTTATTCAATGATAAAATATTTCACCATCCCATTCACTCAAATGGACATCATATGAAAAGAAAAATGTCCATGTTAAGCAGGAACATTGAATTAAGTTAAAATTATATCGTAAAAGCTGTGAATGACTTAGCTATTCTCAGCAATACAATGATCTACAACAACTCTGAAGGACCTATGATGAAAAATGTCATCCATCCCCAGAGAAAGAACTGATGGTGTCTGAATACAGATTGAAGCATACTTTTTAAACTTTTTTTATTTTTCTTGAAGTTTGGTTTTTCTTTTTTTTTTTTTGCTGTATGTTTCCTTTCACAACATGACTATTATGGATGTGTTTTGCATGACTACACATGTATAACCAATATTGAATTGCTTACCTTCTCACGGAGTGGGGGATGGGAAGGGAGGAAAGAAGAGAATTTGAAAAAAGAAAAAAAGAGAAAGAAGAAAATTTGGAACTCAAAGTTTCAAAAATAAATGTTAAAAGTTGTTTTATATGTAATTGGGAAAAAATAAAATACAAAATAAATTTTAACAGAAAAAATATATTATAAATTATGAATAACAAACACATCTCAGAAAGGGAGCTATGGGAAGACATTCTTACCCCCACCCCTTTGCAGAGCTGGAAGGCCTACAAGAGTTGCACATCACACATATTTTCAGGCATTCTTGATGTATTGATTAGTTATGCTGATTTTTTCCTTGTTCTCTTTTTGTCTTTAAAAAAAATACTATAAAAGCAGCTAGGTGGCGTGGTGGATAGAGCACTGGCCTGAAATCAGGAGGACTTGAGTTCAAATCCATCCTCAGACCAAAAATTTGACACTAGCTCTGTGACCCTGGGCAAGTCACTTAACCCCAATTGCCTAAAAAAAATTAATTAAAATTAATTTTAAAAAATTAATTAAAAAATACATTTGTTATATGGGATGACTTTCTGGGAGAGGAAGGAAGAGAAACACTGGGGGAAACTATGGTAATATAAAAAATGCATCAATAAAAACTTATTTTAAAAATCATGTTGCAAATAGAGAGATATAATTACCAAGTACTTAAAAACCCATCATCTACTTAAGACTCCTGGTCTAATTAACTACTAAAGCAGCAGCCAAAATGACAGCTATTAAGAGGTAATCCCAGCAGGTCCATCCCTGCCTCAGTCAAGGTCAGAGCTCTCCTACTGACTGTGACCAATGCCTATGAGGCCGGAACCACTCCACATTCAGCAGACTTTACAATACAGAGAAGAAGGAAGATGGTGTGATTAAGTTATTTGAATACATGTTCTTATGAAGTTTGAAGTGATGGAATTTAACATGTGTTTCTGTCGCACAAATCCATGAAGAAAAGTGGCAAATATTAAGAGTTCTTATTTTATATCAAGAAACTGACATGGAACAACTGAGAAATTTTTCTTTAAACCTAACAAGTTAATGGATCCTGTGTCAGACCTCCCAGGTTTCTTAGTTCCAATGCCAAATGAGGTCCTCTGAGACACCCCAGGATGATTCCAGAACCTCATTTGCAATATCTAATTCCCTAAAGCCTGGTATGTATGGTTAGCTGAGTCTTTGATCCTTTCAAAGATAATAGATAAAGGACAAGTTGAGAGGAAAGTTAATAAGGTGAAAAAGAAAATAAGGAAAAATGAGGAAGGAGAGGTAGTTTAAAAAATTATGAAATTAAATTCAACAGGAATTTATTCAGCATTCACTAAATGCCCTTAAATATCCACCTAGACACTATGGAGAATTTTAAAAAAGAAAAAAAGTCTGTGGCCTGGCTATATACTTTCAAGAGAGTCTTAGGGCAGCTAGGGGGCATAGTGTAAAGAGTGCTGGGCCTAGAGTCAGGAAGACCCATCTTCTTGAGTTCAAATCTAGCCTCAGACACTTCTTAACTGTGGGACCCTGGCTAAGTTGCTTAACCCTGTTTGCTTCAGTTTCTTCATCTGGAAAATGAGCTGGAGAAGGAAATGGCAAACCACTCCAGGATCTCTGCCAAGAAAACCCCAATTGGGATCATGAAGAATCGGACACAATTGAAAAAGACTGAAAATATATTCTGCGAAAAGAGCACTGTATAAGAGACAGGAAAACTGGCCTCTGGCTCCAAGTGTTTTTACCTTACTCTGTGAACTTGGACAAGTGGTTTCACTTCCCTCATCTGCAAAAGGAGGAAATGCATTAAATAATCTATAAGGTCTAGATGGACATTAGGTACCCAACTTGCAAATAGATTGCATGCAATAGTTTGTCAGTTGATTCTTTAGAATTTAGAATGGATTTTTGCATAGAAATGCTGTAATAATGATAGCTCAGTTTTCAGGACAAGTACATAGCTTGATATGACACACAAGAGAGCTGATACTATTTTAAAACCACATAAAAATTCTAAGCCCTCTCTGCCTTAAACCAAATGCTGCTCTGATCCCCTCTGAATGGAATGGGAAAATGAGAGCTAAGTAAAGGCTACAGCAGCTAGACAGCCACTCTGAAAACATAATGGCAGAAGTTTTAATAGCAGGGGTTGGGAAGGAGATTGACCAGAATTCCAGGATCTATAGCTATTAGTGGGGTTAGAGGCTAGGGACTGGACCAAGGCCTTGGGCATTAGTGACTGCTGCAAAAATAATGGAGTAAGGCTCCAGTTGCAGTGGAATGGGAAGTAATGACCCTTTTAGGGTAGTATTACCTTGTCTCTAACCAACTAGATGGCCTAATGGGTAAGAATGCTGAACTTGTAGTCAAAAAGATCTAAGTTCAAATCCAGACTCATATAGTTACTAACTGTGTGACCATGGGAAAGTTGCTTGACCTCTTTCAGCCTCAATTTTCTCACCTGTAAAATGGGAATAATAGTAGTACCTTCTCAAAGGGTCGTTGTGAGGATCAAAGAACATGACATACATACAAAATTTGCAAACCTTAAAGAATTATATAAATGCTAGCTATCTCTAAGAGTTTATAGAAGTGAATTACTTCTATCCCACTGGCATCTTTGATTAATTACATGACTGATTGTATGCTTCACTAATTTCCATGAAACACTGCATGCAACTTAAATCAGAGACATATAGCAAATTGGAGGGTCTGGATTCAAATATAGAATTCTGGAGAACAAAGTCAGGAGTGAAGGGAAGCCTGGTTAGGCCCCCTCCTGAAACAGTGGTCCAGGTAGATGGTGCCCAGTCTGGACAGTGGGCCTTCAAGATGGCAGTTTCTCTTGGGTGGAAACGCAGTTTGTAAGCTGGAGGAAAAGAAACCAAGAGAATAGTCATATTATTTCATTATCTGTAACTCCTTTAAATCTAATGTAGTTTCCTTATTTATGATATATTTTAATCATGTTTATTTTTACTGTTGCATTGTCTGACATCATGACTGCCACCCCTGCTATTTTTCATTCATTTGAAGCAAAAATAAATTCTATTTTGTCCTCTCATTTTTAACTTTGGGTGAATTTTATGATTCACCAGTGTTTCCTGTCAACAACATATTGTTGAATTCTGCTTTCTAATCCATCCTGCCACCCGCCTCTTTTTTATGAATTCATCCTATTGACAACTTACAGTTACAAACGTTCATTTTATTTTTTCCTCCACATTTCCTCCATATCTTTAATTATTTTTTAAAAATTTCATATTGCCTCCTTCCCCAATAAGTCAACACAACTAATCTATGATTGAGTGAACTCACACCCATCCTCTGCTCCTCTTTATCCAGCCCAGATCCCAATCACTGGTTCTTATATTTTCTTTTCCTCTCCCCCTTTATGATCCACCATTCAAAAGTGAAGTTTGTTTGCAGCTCTACCCAACCTCTCAAATCCCGTTCTCCACTTTTCTAATGCCTACCTGTTTTGCTGTTGAATACAATGCATTTAACTTTTACACCAAATGTTTTGTGTATATGTATGTTTTTAAACCTCTTTTGCCATGTTCAGAAAAGAGTGAGGTTCATCTCCCACATCTCCCAACACTAACTCCATGTTTGTATACTCTTCTTCTGAGGCACCCCAAGTATAAAAAAAAAATGTCATCCCCTTTCCTCATTTCTTCTCTAATGTATTCCTTTTCCCTCTCGGCTTTTTCCTCTCTTAAAACCATCGAAGCAGAAAAAAACCAGCCTTTCCAAGCCTTGCACTGATGTCACCTATGTGACCTTTGAAGACCTTAGGATTTGAAAGAGACACTTGTCTCTTCTCTTGTTGGAATATAAGCCCTTCATTATTATTTATCCCCTTCCAATTGCACAAATGTATTTACTTTTCAAAGTTTCTCGTCTCCTGGGTTTGCACTTCAAAGATTCTGCCCGGCTATGGTCTTTTCATTGGAATGTTTGGAAGTTTTCTATTGTATTGATTCCCTGGGAAGAGTATACTTAATTCTGCAGGATATTCTTCTTCTTTTTTTTTTTCCCTTTTACAATACTGAATGCCAAGATTTCATCTCCTTATATAGTAGCTGTAGCACAGTCTTGGTTTTAATGCTATTTCTCTAACTGTTCCCTTCAGTATTCTTTGGTGAATTTTCATTTGTGTTCCACCCCTTATGCAGAGATCTCCGTCCAAGATCTTCCTGTCTTCTCTGCATTTACCTTTAGTGATCTCATCAACTCCCACAGATTCAATTATCATCTCTACTACAGAACTTGTTGCAAAATGGAATTCATCTTTCCTTCTCCTCAAAACACACTTCTCTTCCTCATTTCCCTATTTCTATCAAAAGTACCGCCCTCTTGTCAGTCACCCAGATCTAATACTTCAGAATCATTCTCTACTGTACATTCTGCCCTATCCTCCATATCCAGTAAGTTGCTGGGTCTTATTGGTGCTACCTCCACATCTCTTGCATCTGTTTCTTTTTCTCTAGTCACATGGCCAGTACCTTAGTTCATACCTTAATTGATTATTAATAATTAATTATTATAATATAGAGTTAATATGTTATAATTAACTTAATTAATTAATAAGTTCATGCATTAGTGTCTTAACTGTACTCCATGCATCTTTTACTGCTCCAACTATCCTCCAAACAATTTCCAAATGAATATTCCTAAAGAATAGGCTAGACCATTTCACTCTTTGGGTCAAGAAGCTTTAGTGACTCCTTATTGCCTCTAAGAAAAAAATATAAATTCAACCATGTTTTTATATTTTGTTTACATATTTTAAAAACCATTTAAATTTCTTTGCAATCTCATTCCCAACTATTTTTCCAGACTTACATTCTATTACTCACCCTTACAAATTCTATGTTTCATCCTGATTAGTGTACAGTGTCCATTATTCCCTGAACTCAGCATTCCATCTCTCATCTCTGTGACTTTGCCCCATGCCTATTCTCCCTACTCACTTCTACCCTTTGGGATGCTTAGCTTTCCTTAAAGTTCAGCCTAAATACCACTATCTACAAGAGACTTCTCCTGATCTCTCACAATTATCACTACTCTCTCCCTCTACCAAAAAACAAGCAAAAAACCCCCCATTACTTTGTACTTAATTTGTATAAATTTATATCTTTTTGTCATTCTGTCATTTTTTCAGTCATGTATGGCTCTTCATAACTCCATTTGGGGTTTTCTTGTCAGAGATACTAGAGTGGTTTGCTGTTTCCTTCTCCAGCTCATTTTGCAGATGAGGAAAACAGGGTTAAGTGACTTGCCCAGGGTCACACAGCTGGGATGTGTCTGAAACCAGATTTGAACTCATGAAGATGCATCTTCCTGACTCCAGGCCCAGCACTCTCTCCACTGTGCCATCTACCAGCCCCCCAAAATTTACATCTAAAAATTTATACCTACTTAGCTGCATATATGTTGTACATAATGCACTGCAGAATGTATGCTCTTGGAAGGCAGGGACTGTTTCATTTTTGTCTTTGTATCTCCATATCAAAGGGCAACATGAATATAGAGTTCACTTTGGAGTCAGGAAGACCTGGGTTGAAGCCTTAACTCTGACACATATTGGTTGTGGAATCTTGGGCCAGTCACTTAATCTCTGTGTTTCAGGTAACTCTTTAACACTATGATTTGCAAAGCAAGTACCTGTCTGCACTAGTAGAGGCTGTTCTTCAACAAGAGCCCCCTATACCAATAAAATCACAGGTCTGGTTAAAAAAAAAAAAAGCTTCAGTGCCTGGCCCATAGTAGATACTTGTTGAACTGAATTAAAATTGAGGCAAAAAATCTCTCCTGCTCTAACATAAATGAAATTCACAGGAAAAGCTGCTGCAGGTTGACAGCAATAGCCACGCTTCTGACATGTGGGTCAGAAAATGGAGCTATTAGCATTTGGAATCATTCTAGACGAAATTAGTCATTTTCATTTCCCCTCATAATTCTCTCCCTTAGCTCTGAACAGCTCCGGGGGGGGGGAAAAGTGTGAAAAGTGACAAAGTCAGGATAACCATTTGAAAGTAACAATTTGTTCTAACCTGGATAATGATCATAATAAAGGTGATTTACCTTAACACAACTTGAATACCAAATCATTTGCTACCTGAAATGAGCCAGCATTTTATTTATTATGAAGTGCTTAGAGAAGTTAAATGTAAATGTGATGCATTTGAATCAAAAGAAATTAAGCTGATCAATGTTTCCCTGGCACAGAAACAATTACATTTAAGAAAGTTTAAAAAGATGGTTACCAAGCAACTATATTCCTCCTCCGTACATTGTCTACTCATAATCTCTGGTAAATTAGAGAAGATGACAGGCTGTCACTATAGAATAGGGACATACAGAATTATAGCATTGTTATTCTATGTTCCTCCTACAGAAGAAAAATCAATTCTACCCTTCATACACTGATTAGGTTAAATAACTGCAATAAGAATGAAATGTTAGAGTATCTTGGTGTGAGCATGTAGAAAGTCCAGAAAATTTCACAAGAATGATCATTCTAAGCAGATCTATCCCTCCCCTGCCTGCACTATACATTGGAGCTTTCCATTTACAGTGGGATCTCTCCCAAACATTGCATTTTACCTGTAGCATTATAGTTGAACTCTTCTGAACTCACTCTCTTCCTGTACTAATAGAAAACATTATTGCACTTTATTGCTGTTATTACATTATTGCTATTATTCACACCTGGAAATGTTTCATCTCTCTGATGAAAATGATGATGCTCTTGGTCAGCCAGGCTTTTTCCACTGACCTGTTAATATTCCTCAGTGACCTCCCAGATAGTCCTTATGAAGAGAAGATTGGCAAGCAAGACTAGAAGAAATCCAACCTATTCTGTTCTAAGCCCCTTGAGGGCAGGGACTATGCTATTTTCATCTTCATATCCCTGGCATCCAGCATGGTGCCTTGCAGGCAATAGGTGTTTGATGACTGTTCATTAAATTGAATTACCTACACATAAGTGGCAAACAAAAACATCCCCAGAGTCTTAGATAACTAATTCCTTCTTGAAGAACACTAGGGCCATGCATCATTTTCCTGAGTCAGGGCCACACTGGACAGCTGGTCTGGATTTTGTATTTGCAGGGGAAATATACAAACATAATTCCACCTGAAGCAATGTTCAACCTAAATTGTTTTAGAAATATTTCTCAGTATGTTTAAATTTTAGACTCCTGTTAACCATGTCATTCATTCATGTAATAAGCATTTATTAAGTGCCTACTCTGTGCAAGGTACTATGCTACCTGTTAGAAATGAAGACAAGCAAATAGGGAGACAGGAAGACAGAGGGACTGAGAGACAGATAGACCAATAGATCAATAGATATAGATGGATAGATCAGATGGATAAATAGATAGATACATAGATAGATAGATATGATAGGAACATAGATAGAAGTGGGTAGGTAGGTAGATAGGTAGGTAGATAAGATGGATAGAAATAGAGATAGAGAGATAGAAAGATGATAGAAATAGGTATATAAAAATAGAGATAGAGTGGGAGGTAGATAGATAGATAGAAAGGATAGAGATAGAGAGGTAGATAGAGATGATAGAAATAGAAAGATTGGTAGATAGATAGCTATGATAGAAATAGAGGTAGGTAGGTAGATAAATAGAGATAGAGAGGTGGATAGAGATGACAGAAATAGAAAGATAGGTAGATAGATGGATAGACAGAAATAGAGATAGAAGTAGGTAGATAAATAGAAATAGAGATAGAGGGAGGTAGGTAGATAAATAAATGGATAGATAGAAATAGAGATAGAGGTAGATAGGTAGATAATTAGATAGAAATAGAGATAAAGATGTAGATAGAAATGATAGGAATAGA